AACATTATCAGCCACGGTTTTACTCACCGTTGTTTCTTCTAAAGCTGGCAGTCTATCATCGATGACGTTCGGAAGTGAAGGGTTACGGCCCATTGTCAACTGATTTGCAGAAAACCCACCAAACATCTGCATGGAGTTTTTCGCACTTAGTGCCCAACACAATGCAACTTCCCAGTTGCATTTTGAATCTTCCTTCGTTTTTACCATCATCTGTGTCAGCATCTTATGATGACGTTCTACAATCCCATTGCTCCAAGGGCTCTCGGCAGCTGAATTTTGCACATCCACATTGAATCTTTGACACATCTCAGTAAACTCCTCATTGGCAAACTCTCCACCATTATCAGCCATGAATTTCTTTGGATTTCCAAAGATGGATATCCATCCAGAGCAAATTCCTTGGATGATTGTCTCTTTCTCCTTATTGTAGATTATTCTAGCTGCTGAATATCTTGTCACCGAATCAATCATAAGATATACACATTTGCAGTGCCAGGAACATTCTTAAGATCCATTGCAACACATTCGTTGAACACCTTTCCTCTTGGGAGACCCACCACTGGTCTTGACTTAGGTTTCTTGTACATCAGACATATTTTACAACTGCTGGATACCTCATCAATTGCTTTCATATATTCTGGTCTCTTAAATCCTGCAGTTTTCAGCAATGTTTTCAGTTTATCACTAGGAGGGTGTAAGAATTGTTTGTGGATTTTTTGCACTTTCCTCCTAATCTCTTTTTCGTCAGTATCAAACAAACCTTCTTCGCTGATTGTCATCACCAGATGTGGGGTCTTTCGATCTGGCGGCACAATGGTCATGCGTCTTTTATTACAAAGAGGAACGCAATAGTGCTTTGATTTAGTTTCAAACAAATCAACACAATCTCCACTGAATCTCATTGTATCATTTTTGAAATCCAACACAGCACCAGCTCTCTTTAACGATGCTTTACTGAGAAGCAACGGCAGTTCTTTCTCAACAATGTTTGCTTCTATCCGAACATCTGTCTTTCCTATTCGCCCAGGGATGATAGTCTTTCTGTGGAAATGACTTCGAGTCCATCCCAAATCTAAAAGGCGTCGAGCAAGGTTCACTAACCATCATTTTCAGTTGTTTTTCTTCCAGAGTTTCTCTGTAGTGATTCACCCAGTTCCTACCAACAACTGTCTTTGTACATCCAGAATCAATAACTGCACATGCTAATGACTCATACACAAGAGAACCAAGGTTTGTATCACTCATCAGGCACTCTTCAGGAATCTCAACAATATTTTCAGATTCTAACACCACCATGAATGTTAAGAATGCACTCTCTGCTTCCATGGCCGTAACATTCTCAGCACCATCTTGTGCGAAATACTGTGCATTATCTGTTGAACCTTTGAACCTGAAGAAGCTCTGTTCTTGCTTGTGCACCATCTCGCAATATGGTTTTTAGCGCCACAAGCATAGCATCCAGTATACACACTCTTTTGTCGATTATACGGATGATGATGATTCCCACGTCCTCTTGACATCCTTTTGTAGTTTCCTCGTCCACTTCTTGGGGTTGAGTTGTACATGTATAGTTACATTCCTCATGTTCCACCTTCACTGATATTGACGCAGGCGGTGTGGAAAGGTTCGATTGGACGGAGAAGATTTTCCCGATCGTTTCACACATATCTTTATAAGTAAGATCCTTTACAGTTGCCAAAGCGAGATCATATTTTTCTGACGGGAGGTTAGCGCTGTTAAGGAATCTGTAGGCCAGAACTGCTTCAGGAAGAGTGATTTTGTGTCTCCTGAGATCCGCTAGCAACTTCTCAAACTCAGATATGTAATTCTGTAGAGACAACCCTTCTGGTCTCACATATTTTCAAACTTACCATAAACTCGGTAACAGGTTTGAGCTGAGTCCTCTAAATAGATTTTGTCAAGATGACTTAAAATCTTTGCTATTGCATCCTCTGCAATTAGGACATCTTTCCCTAATGATCGTACTGTATCTTTTATCTTCCCTTGTTTCAATTCTAAGAGCAACGCAGTTCCTTGTCTCTTTTGCTCTAAACCCGTGAACTCTTGCCACAGCTGCAGGTCTAACTTCCAATTGCAGTAGTCCTGATCAGTAGTCCTGTATGCCGGTGGCCGTGGGGCTTTGTAATTACTAGTTACTCTAACTGTCTCTGGGGGTGCCATTGCGTCCTTCTCTGCTACCACTTGTTAACTTTAAATGGATCACTATGCAATGAAACACACCAGTTGTTACAAGTAATTATCAAACCCCACAGACAACATGTTTGTGGCACATTCTGAAATAGAACACAATTAGTATATAATATTATATCGACTATCATAAATATATAAACCAAATATATAGCAATTCACACCTACTAGTAAATTTTAAACTGACAAGAATGCTAAAGGTTATCGGGATAATCATACCAGTAACACACCTGGCGGCTGTCCGTACGCGTAGTATAGCTGTCTAGACCATCTCCTAATTTTCACTGAATTGATTATTGTTTTGTTTTCAAATGCTTCAAATTTTTGTTTTCAAATGCTTCAAATAATTCAAATGTAAAATATATGTGTAAATGAATCTCCAAATCCGATGAACTTGGGAAGTCTGTGATTCATGGAGTTCCGTAGTATTCAGTTTATATTGTTGTATGGCAGTAGTATAAAAATATGTGCTTTGTCGACTACGATGAAAATCTTCTAGAATGTGGTTATGATTAGGGGAACCATTCGCCACTCATCCCCAAAACTTCAGAGGTATATGGGATTGGAAAGATTTACTGAGGTTTTTGACGTTATAACTCATTCTCAAAAATAAAACCGCAGATATTCTTTATAACAATTGAAAATTTGATAAAAAAGTCGTACGAGATGACATCCGGAATCAAAAGTAAACGACAACGACATTGATATTAATTTGCCAGCATCCTAAAATTTTCTCTTCTAAACACCCAGTTCCGTCCCGGCAAAAAAACCGGCTAACAGGAAAAGATATCGATATCCGGCCGTTATCCAAAACCCCAGACCGGTCGGTTCCTATTAACAGAAGCCTAGAACTCGATTCAATAAAAACGGTATCTTACAGTTACGGTTTATACCGCGGCCGCCCATATAGACACTTCAAACAATGTACAGGGAGTCCTTTCCGAAAAAATACTTATTAGTGGATATGTAGACTCGGAGAAGTATATGTAGACTCGGAGAAGTGATATGTAAATCTCGGAGAAGTGTTTCTGAAACTATACTTATATGTATTTCCCAAATTTCGTCTCGTATTTTGTTATTATTATATTTCTGAAACATAACTTAAGTACGCAAGAGATCAACACATGCGTGAGCCGCGCTGAAACTCTTCCATAAATTCAGTTTATGCTGCGCAGTTACGTTTGTACTTTGTTATAAACCGCGCGGTTTAGTATTCATATTGTACGTTTGAGAGCAGTGCGTGTGAACTAATATATAAAACAGGAATTGGCGAGGCTTTGACCATTAACACAGGTGTAGTAAAATGCTAAAACCTTGTTGCCTTCACGGAGCAATTCTACCAGCACATCCAAATTTCTCAATGATATCATCGCGTGCAGTGATAGTGATGATACCGATAAACTATTTGCACTTTACAGTGAGGGGCCAATAAGGTTGAACCGTCGCGTAGACTGACATGATCTATGTTTTTAGAACGGACCACTTGGGAGCCTACAATGATATTTAAATTATAGGGTCCTGTTGACTTCTATTGGAGGATATTTATGGGTTAGAGCAAATAAAGCGTAAGCACTTGCCAGTGCAGTTAAACTATTTGCATCGAGAAGTCAGAAAGTTGGACGGTCACGTGAATGGAAGTCTAGGTTTTTAGAAAGGACCACTTGGGAGCCTACAATGATATTTTAAAAATAGGATTTTATTTATGCGCAGTTAAATTTATGAATTAAAATGTACATTTAGACTGTCTGCATAGTCAACCCTTTTTATATGTAGTATTCCAAATTTAAAGTCCTCAGCATTTGCTACAATTCATTAATTTTTTGCACCCTCTTTGAGATCTATAATTGCCGTGACTGTGAGTATTCTACGGTCCCTAAAATAGCAGTGCGTGTGAACTAATAATGATCTTTAAAATATTAATTATTTTACGTTTGACAATATATGTCAAACATAACATAATTATTCGTTTCCCTTCGAATACTTTTTGAGTTAAGTATAATTATTGCACTTAAGTAACGTCCGTACCATAGTTACATTTTAAGTGAAAAACAGCGTACTTAAGTATGTACTTAAAAGTAAAAATATCGGCTTAAGTGAAAAAAATTTAATTACAAAAATTGACTGAAGTTTTTGCACTTAAGTATCTGTTCAGATATACTTTTTGCTTAACTTTACACTTAATTCCCATCTTTCACTTAAGTACCTACCGTTTCGGAAAGGACCCCCAGATCTCCGAAACGAAAAACTTAAAAGTAATACAATTAGAAGTATTATACATGTTATAGGTTTAAGTTGAACCTACGCGTACGGCATTATAAACTTGACTTCCTTATGAAAAGTCATGTACCTACTCATGATGGCAGAGGAAATGGTTGATTTTATGGCTAAATTTTAAACACTGGGTATTTGTACCATGTTGCTGGTATTCAAATGGTTATTCTAGCGATAATACATATCGTATTGTGGCACTTTTAGATTTCATGAAGAAATTGTTTGTCGGCTGTAATAATAGCTATTACGTAGCAGCACCACCCCATCATAAGATACATAACAGTGAAATCAGGACGCTCATTACTATGACCCACAGTGCTCAAACTTCACTAACAAAATTACTAAGTATAAAAGTACTATTTTGCTATCATTGACATTCGTATTACTAATTGAAGTTTATGAATTCTACTTGAACATCCACTAAACCAGGTGAACATTGTCCACTGTGTCCACTGTGTCCACTGTGTCCACTGTGTCAACTGTGTCCACCGTGTCCACTAATTTAACCTAACTGTGTCCAGGTATACCTACTCGGTCTTGTGGACGCTATTGTGGACTCGTTTGGGGAAGATGGCGGCAACTTTGGGAAGTTTCTACCGGAGCACGGTCACTGGAAGAACCTGTACGGGTCCTGTATTCTGCTCATCATGTTATTCGTGGTGCTCATTGGAGCCGAGGTCAGCATTATATGTGCATGACTGTATACAATTATTAATCATAATTTCGCGAACGATATAATGTGAATATTATGTAGATTTTGAACAATTAGTAAACTCCTTATTTTATTCGTAGTTCTCATTGAAAATAAAGTGACGAGATATATAATACGTCTTTAATTTGCAGCAAAGCCTACATACTTACATGAGCATACATTGATACTACATACTTATGTATGGACAATTAATTTGGCGGCTCAGTACAGTAACACACTAATGACTGTGTCTAGTTTATCTGGTACTTGTTAACTAAATATAACAGTTAATAATATTTTACATTCCGACAGATGTTCGCAAAGACAAACCTTGTTATCTTCGCTATTGTGGCTGTGACCCTAGTTATTAACATCGTAAACTTTATCATCCAAAAACCTATTAATGTGAGTAACACTGATCTAGAAGGTGTTCTCGAAACACTAGCCTCATTTACCCTCAATCAATTAATTTACAGATTGAATAATTTCAAATTTACCCTCAATATGATTATTTGAATTCCAGGTTCTGTTTTATTTTACCACTATTATCTGTTATACTTCACACTATAACATGCAGCCCACTACAGGACCTTCACCCACCGTCAGATAACTCAATGCTAAACCACACTGTTAACCTCACATATACCAGTTGGAGCAGGGAAACCTTCCTTGAAAACCGGTTAGTTAATTAGTTAATTAATAGTTCTTCTCATATTACCCTCACACATGACACAACTGATATTATTGCACTTGTTGTTAAGTTTAATATTGTTGTCCTTTTGTCAGATTTATAACCGTTTTTTGTTGTTGCTTGGATATCTAGTTACGTTCCACAGAATGTGTAGAATACTGACGTGAATGATAAACTTCTCCGCATTCTTACTTGTTGTTTGGAAGTATGTACAGCTTAACAATATCATATAACAAAGGACGTTGTAAATGTTATCTTGGGCAGGCTGGCGGCCCGTTTTTCAAGAGGCACCTAATATTTTATCCTACAAACTGCAAAGTTAATGATACGGTGCTAGCAACGCAGATTTGAAAAATATGAAAATCAATTTTTCGCCAAACACTGAACACACGAGTTAGATTTAGTGTCGCCTTTCCGCAACGTCGATACTGGTTAATCAACACGTAATTTAGATAAATAATAAAACGCGTTACCAACTCATTTTAATAGTTATACTTATATATCGTTATTATAATATATGGTTTGATTGAATTCTGTGCAATGAAAGTATTTAAATCATCTATGAAACTAGCTACATACATATTATTACATGTATATAACTAACGGATTAGATAACTAAAGGGGAAGTTAAGACAGTAAGAGGGGAACTGCGAACTGCGAACCCTGATACAATATGGAGAGGGTTATTCAATATTCATGCCATTTATCTATATAGCGATCAGAAATGTTAATAAATTGACCTTAACCAAGATTACTGGTTCAAACGTCTTGTCACATGACTTGGACGACCTATCATAATTCGATTCCAATTGCCAACTGAATGTTCTAAATCGCACAAATATTGCGCAACCGATTCATTGAAACGGTTTTAAATGTCTATAAAAACATTAATGAAGGAGCACTCCACTATATTTTCCACTCATTTTTTTCCCTACTCTTGCCGAAGGCAAAAAGATCGTAGGGAATAAGTAATCGGGTTTGGATATATGAGGTGGCCCGATGGACCTGCGGTGATGACAAAAGTCTGCTCCTTCGCAATATAGACCACTCCCCTATAATTATGTGTATAGGAAGCGTATGTTATGCTGCCCGCGACGGTAGCCATGTGTTAATTAATTACAGTGAAATTCCTCCTTCGCAAAGTTATTTTCCGCAATTATCTGGATTCATTTATTGTTGATGCGCGGCGCTACATTGGTCAAATAAATCGTCAATTTTTACCATGCACGAATCCCACTCATTTATAAATAATATAGTATGTAAATATGTTGTACTTTTTTCCAGTCACACCTTTCACTCGAAAGAATGAAAGGTATACAAGTACATCGTAGGGAAAATTCTTGTTATTTGTTTGTTTGTTTGTTTGTTTGTTTGTTTGTTTGTTTGTTTGTTTGTTTGTTTGTTTGTTTGTTTGTTTGTTTGTTTGTTTGTTTGTTTGTTTGTTTGTTTGTTTGTTTGTTTGTTTGTTTGTTTGTTTGTTTGTTTGTTTGTTTGTTTGTTTGTTTGTTTGTTTGTTTGTTTGTTTATAGAACCCGTCCCCAATCTCGTATTGGAAAATGACTAAACTCAGGTCTGAGTGTGAATACGGGTGGTACCTGCAAGAGTGTTCATTAAGCATTTAGAGTTCTTTAAAACTGCAGTTACAATTGTGCTAGAGTATTTTTAGTATATATATTTTTAGTATATATACGATTGGTATCAGATATATATCCCTACATGCTTCCAAAATTTTGTAAAGCCGTAGTACATACATATCACATTACACCGGAGCCTACACAGTGCAATCTCCTCCAGTCGATCTGCGCCGCGTATGTTTATATAAGCGTGCGGCGCAGACTGAAGGAAACTACACTCTGCAAGTTCGATCCAGTGCAATGCTACATGTACGTACTACGGCTTTATCTCCAACTTTCTGCACAATGTACTGGAATGTTTTGAAGGAAAAGAAAGAACCAAAAAAAAAGATATATATAAATAAAATCAGCGATTTAATGTTAGCCTTATTAGGACGGTAACTTTAATTCCCTGGTTTCTAAAATCAGCTTATTTTTTTTAAATAATAAAATATGTAACGTCGATACCAAACCGATTATTGAGCGATGATAACTGAGTAGTTGATTCCTGGGTTGCAGAGTCATTCAGATGTTTCAGTCTTCGAATGTGGTTCTTGTTCAGTTCCTGACCAGAAGTGTCTAATGAAGTATTAGTAAGTCAGACAAGCAAACTGTTCCTTAAATGCTGCTCGTCTCCATCCCAGAAAATATGAAGATGACCCAGTGAAAAAGTGCAGAAATCGGCCGAAAATAACAAAGACTAGAAACAGTTAAAAAGTGACAGAATTCAAACACAAGGAAAATTAATAACATAGAGCGTAATAAGAAATATCTCCAAACGGATCTCTCTTAGAGGGTGAGATGTTCTTTGATAAGTCCTAATGATTAAATGAGAAGGTACTTAGAGGTACTAAATTAACCGGACTGCTAGCGAGGAGTCGAGAATGGGAATAAAATAAAAGCGGAATAACTCCTAAGATAACGAAATACTGGTACAGAAAGTTTAAGTCCGATCACAAAGTCTTATCTAGGAAAAACCTGTGAACCAAATAAGCAGAATGGCACCCGTCCATGAAGTCATAAAATATATACCGTTATAGAATGCCTCCGCAAACGTTTACTCCTTTGTAATGCACGTGTTAGTAAGTGTAGTAAAAAGATAAAAAGAATAAAGCTATTTGATGAATTATATGCGTTTAACCAATCTGCTGCAAATCAAATTTGCTTGTTTTGAAGTATTTAAGCTTGATGGTACCAGTTTTCTTAGAGGGTGAGATGTTCTTTAATAAGTCCTTTAATAAGTCCTAATGATTAAATGAGAAGGTACTTAGAGGTACTAAATTAACCGGGCTGCTAGCGAGGGGTCGAGAATGGGAATAAAATAAAAGCTGAATAACTCCTAAGATAACGAAATACTGGTACAGAAAGTTTAAGTCCGATCACAAAGTCTAGGAAAAAACTGCGAACCAAATAAGCAGAATGGCACCCGTGCATGAAGTCATAAAATATATACCGTTATAGAATGCCTCCGCAAACGTTTACTCCTTTGTAATGCACGTGTTAGTAAGTGTAGTAAAAAGATAAAAAGAATAAAGCTATTTGACGAACTAGCAGCAACATTCCGATCAAGAAGATTATCAGATTGGAAACTGGTCAAATTTTGATTTGGGTCAGAACTTGGAACTGAGATATCGTTATTATTATATGCGTTTAACCAATCTGCTGCAAATAAAATTTGCTTGTTTTGTATTTAAGCTTGATGGTACCAGTTTTCTTAGAGGGTGAGATGTTCTTTAATAAGTTCTAATGATTAAATGAGAAGCTTGATGGTACCAGTTCAAGGGTTAAGGTTAAGCAAATAAAATTGCCATTTAAATATAGCGACAATTTGTTGGCAAAAATGAACCTCATACGTATATGTGAGCATGAAACTTCCAGTTCCACGCAAGTTTGAGTTGTCATAGCAACAACTACTAGTTAAACAAGCAGTGTAACAAGACGCTGCGATAGTTAACTAAATATTTGATGGCCTGGTCTACTACCTTTGAGCAACTTATTAAATGATTGTCTGGTATTGACGGGGATGCAGGCCACAGTTTGTGTTTGTTGTTTTGATCTACAAATAAAGAAGAGTGTATAATGAAGTTCAATTAATTAAATTCTTTTGAATAAATAAAGGTAACCAATATGTGTCGAGATTATTTTTTTCTCTCATAGTTTATTCCAGATTCTGATGTCTGATTGTACCACCATGTCTGTCGTATATATACGAAAACTATATATAGTATATATATACGAAAACTATATATAGTTTTTAGACGTTAGTGTTACCAATAAGCAGTTTAAAGGAAAATGAGAATTTCTTAGAGGGTGAGATGTTCTTTAATAAGTCCTAATGGCCTCGTTGACCGTGCCTAACGGAGTCTTATCCTTAATCTACCTTTACGTAACAACTACAGCCCTTGCTGAACAATGCCCCTATAGTATAGCTTCTTGCTCTTCCAGAGCCCGATTGTGGTGACACGAACACACCCGCGTTGGATCAACCCGTGTTGACCCTGGCTACAACACAGCTAGTTCCTGCTCTCCTGAGTCAACCATTGTCAACTCCCCCTACGCTTAAGCCCGACTGGTCCTGTCTATGTGCTGAGAAAATGTCCGGAGCACAGCTCCCTTAACTACAGACCACGATAATGCTCTCTCCAGGACCCTAACGTAACAGGTCCTGGCTCCAAAGCGTCCGGCATCACCGACCCCACTCAGAATGGGGCAAACCTTCTCTGAATCTTTCAGGCCCAGCTCCCAACTATAAATAATGCCCAGTGCGTGGTTTGTCACATGACTTGGATGGCATATCGTAAAGTTATTCCAATATGATACCGCAGTCTGGGGAACACCTTGCCAAGTAAGGTGTCTAAGTCGCACAAATAATGCACAGATTTATAATGACTTTGTATTCCGTTTATTTTTTTAAATTAAAATTGATTATAAAATAGAATCGTTCAAAATATCGCCCCCATCTATAAAATATGATGGGCACCCAAGCACGGTAAACGCATAGTGAACTATGTCCGCAATTACTTGGACCCAATACATCGAATTAATCTAAATCCAAAAATTGATGAAAACTATATAATAACAAACGAATCCATGGTGAATAACTGTGGATATAGAGTCAAAATTGGTATTTCAATACGTAAGTAAGGTGTCTAAGTCGCACAAATACCGGCAGATTTATAATAAATTTGTATCCCGTACGCGTATATCATAACAGCAATAATTATAAATACAAAGTGGTCCTTTCTAAAAAACCTTGATGTCCATCTACGTGATGGTCTAACTTAAGGGACACTGCAGACATTAATTACCTCATATACATCGCTTTATAGCCGAAAACTCAAAATCTAAAGATTCAGTCGATAGGTTTACTACCCAGTGGCGTAACGAAGGGCCCCGCTGACCCCGCTGTGCGGGGGGGTGCCAAATCGTCGTTTGAATGTGGGACAATTTCGAAAATTTAATTAAAGTACTAGCAAAGCTGCGCGTTTTGCTCTAGATACACACTTTTTTAGAGATTTTACCGGCGTATCCTCTAAAATCACCTAATTTGTTCAATTTTAGGGAGGGGCGCCAAAAGGGGAGGGGCGCCAACAGGGGGCGCTTTTTCGTCGGGGGGGGGGGGGGGGGGCGCCAACAGGCAACGTTACGCCACTGTTGTATGTTACTACCTCTCAATATATATATGAGAAAGTTACTATACATGACTTTATGACGAAAAAGTTTATTTATTTAACCGTTTTATTAATATCTCGATCATGGAGGAGTTACAACAAGACAATCAGTAACGTTTGCTTCATCATCACTGATTTGGAATCGGGTTTTTGTTCCCCGATTATTATTTACTCGAAAATTAATTATATAGAATGATTTAATTAAGTTCAATTGATCCATTAGGGCACACGTGCTTAATTTCTAAAAACTTTGTATAGATTCATTCACACATTTTTTAAGAATTTTTTTAACACACAGATGTAATTTTCTTAATCCATGGATATCATGATTCATTTCGCACAGATCAATAGGCGTTTGGCCGTTATGTTTAAACATAATATCAGAGTCGCACTGAATGACTGAATTATGTTAGAATTTAGCAAATATAGGTTATTAATAGCTCCAATTAGACATATTCTTCGAAAGTGATGTAAGTAAGTACATCATCATAACATATTTATAATAACACCCCTTGTTTCAGTGCTCAGAACTACACAATAGACTACACCACCAAGCGAACAACTTCCTTTGAGACGGTATTTGCTGTGCTTTTCACCGGGTTTACTGGTGTTTTCGCGGGTTCCAACATGTCAGGAGATCTCAAAAACGCTAGCAAGTTAGTCACGTGTGTTCTTGATTATATCTGAGAGGTTCTGTTGCTTTGTTAGCACGTGACAAGTTGGTTTTGCACGTGATTGATCACCAGAAGTAAACTTGGCACTAACGCCATAAAAATTTGATTTACAATGATCATAGAAAAATATAAAAGCATACCTGAAGTACGAAAATGGAGACTGGAGAGTGGTGAGCATCCCTCGTGACTCCATAACGGTATAACTGTATACTGTAATAATCGCGGGAGCGATTCTTGAATTTGATTCGTACAAACAGAAAGTTTATTAATCGCTAGTTGATTAATCGCTACCTCAATCAATTTAACCTGCCCGCTTTAAACTGATGCTGGTAACTATCAAACTTCGTGAGATATTTACAATTGTGTTTCTGATGACTATGACATAATTCTATAATGAAACTTTTTGTGAAAAATGAGATAACTGTTATATTTCCATCAGGTCGATACCATTTGGGACGGTCCTGTCTTGTATAGTGAGCTACTTTATCTACATCATGCTTTCCCTCGCCATCGCCTTTACCTGCTCTAGGGTAAGTCTTTTTATTGGCTCTTTGCCAAACTGCTCAACTGCTCAACTGCTGTCAACTTAAAATTTCTCACTAGATTTGTATTGTTTGACGATTTAAACTTTAGGCTACGTTTGGAATATAAATGTAATTTCTTTTATAAAAGATTGTGCAAAACTCTATTTCTTAGAATTGAGGCGCGTTGATATGCTGAATATTAACTTTGAGTAGGAATGAGATATGACTTGAACACAGAATTCCGTGTGTAAAACGATCTGTGTGTTCAAAAATAGAGATCAGTCTATTTTTATAAGAATAAAGACTGGAATTCACTGTGATAATTAACATTTTATCTAAAGACTAAAACTAAAACTGTCTTTAAAGAGATGGCTCAGATTTAACCACCTGGTTAACATACACCACCAATCTGCCTTATAACTATTTCCGGGAATTATTTCCCCAAAAAGTCGTGAACACTGGTAACCGATAATTAACCCTAACGTGGTGTCAAGACATATTAATAGATTTCAACAAATCTGAACATAGCCACAAATTACATCTAAGGTTGATTTCAAACTTCCCCAGACGTTGATACAAAATGACTACCTGTTCCTGGAGCACATATGCAAGGTTCCAGGGATAACAACTGTAGGCACATTCAGCGTCACTTTCTCCGCGTCTCTCGGAGCTTTCATTGGAGCCAGTCGCATTTTAGGTAAAATATTGTCTTTTCAGGTTACGTGATTTTAAATTGCCCTATCACAATTTGAGCATTTTAAAGATTTTTGATCCTGCATTCAAGTTATGGCTAAAAGATACTTAAGTTATGATATTAACCCACTACACATCTTTTATTGGCGCAAATTAATTGATCATTAAGTAAGTTTTTGACTTTAAGGTCGGGAAATTCCCAGTTAGATTTATTAGTTAGAATTATTAAAATGCAATAATCTTCAATTGTATGAACTCTCTCAGAGGCGCTTGCTCTGGATGATATCCTGGGTAGTTTGCTTAGTGTGGTGAAGAAAGGAAGATCGAGGAGAGGTAACCCGTGGGTTGCAGTTGTCGTATCGTGGGTTTTTCTTCAGGTAAGTTTGTTTTTTGTTTTGTTTTTTTGTTTGAATTGAGGGGTTTTCGCCCACGTTTGACTGAGTTGGGTTCGTAAATGACCAGAGCAAACTATATTATATGATACACATTCTAAAAGTTCAATATGAATAGTGTGAAGTATATAATAACTTGTAGCAATTCGCTTCTAGCGAAGGCTGGGAAGGTCTGACGATTCCTCTCTAACATTTCTCTTAAACTCCCCAGGCACTGCTGTTTGTTGGCTCCCTTAACTTGATCGCTCCCTTCGTAGCCACCTTCTCGTTACTCACGTACGCCACTGTAAACATGGCGTGTCTAGCTCTGGACTTGGCTGGAGCTCCCAACTTCAGACCTACTTTCGTGTACTTCAACAAGTACACCTCTTTGGTTAGTTAACTTTTAATGTTTGATTAGTTTTATAATTAATATCAGTAATAAGTATCACATTTCAATCTCACATTTCTACAGTGGCCTGAAACAAACAGGATTTCGTCAATTCCAACATGATATTCCGTTGAAGCTGAACTATCGTAACCTATTAAATTTTAATTTATCTCCAAACATTGATAGCAGTATTGCAGGTACACACTACACAGTGTAGACTGTAGATTTATTACGCACTGCAATTATTTGATTAAATACCGCACGTGGTTCTCACGAATTGTTATTCCCAGGTGGGGTTTGTGTCAAGTATAGTGATGGCGTTCGTGGTTAACCCAGTGTATGCCAGTACCTCATTTGGGATATCTGTCATGTTGTTTGTCTTCATCATGTTCAGAACTCCGGGTTCTTCTTGGGGCTACATCAGTCAGGCTCTCATCTTCCATCAGGTAAGATATAATTTAGTTTAAAGTTATTTAAAACTCCACATTATTTATAGTTCTTTATTCTGTATTTGGATAGAAGATCAAACTTCAAAGTGCATAGGATCGTTACTAACTATATCACTACAAATGTTACAACCAGCATTAAAATATTCTATGTAAGCCAGTTCCTACCAATTCGTATCCAGATATTAAATAACATGTAAATAATATTACACATGTATACCAGGTGAGGAAATACCTGCTGATGCTGGACACGAGGAAGGACCACGTGAAGTTCTGGCGACCTAGCATCTTGTTCTTGTGTAAAAACCCGAGGACATGTATTCCTTCCATCAGTTTCCTGAACGATATGAAGAAAGGTGGACTTTATGTAATCGGGACTAACATAGTTGGTGATCTCAGGGAACCAGGTAACAGTTTGGGAGATGATAATAGAAGATATTACTTATTTTGGGGAGGCAGTACATGTAATGACACGTCATGACAGCGTTTAATGGATCAGCTTGCAGTATACAATTTCAATAACAATGAATAAGTCCACATACTGTAGACCATTCATTTCTAAGAATCGTCCTATGGAATTCTTGGAATCTTCCATCCTGGTATACATTTCAGATGTCTTTTACTTCCTTTACCTTGGTTGATATTTCAGGATTTGTTTCCAAGCTCGAAGATCAGAATATGGCCTGGCTAAGTTTGGTACAGGTTTTGGGTGTTAAAGCTTTCGTTGAGACCACAGTTGATCGCGACGTCCGAAACGGAATTCAGAATTTAATCATGGTAAGGCAACAATCAGTCCTGACAGGTGACGTTATTTTACCCGATTGGGCAGATGATACGAAAATATTTTGTGGCTATTGGTAATAGTGAACGCATTTTATGTATTCTTGGAACACGCGGCGACATTTTATTGAACGCGCACGCGAGTTTTTTATCTTGTTTTCATAGACTTTCTGAATTCACATGGCCGGCTGAAACAATGCGGGCACATGAAACTTGCACAATTGTTGCTCATTTGTATTTCGTGCCATCCTAAAAATAATATTATCAGCTTAAATGTGTTAAGCTGTTCGAGAACTAAGAGACTTAACTAAAATTGACTGTTTATTATTGTAATGTTTGGTATAGTAATAATTACACAACTACGATAGTATTGGAAATTGAAAATGTATTTAGGAATGTAGGAATGTACATGACCGTGTACATAACAGAGAACTTCGTACAATCAAACCTCAACATTCTTTTTCATTTCAGACGGCAGGACTTGGTGGCATGACCCCTAATACTGTAGTTATTGGATTCTACGATACTTCAGAATCAAAAGATTTTGTCAGTGAGCCAGATGGATTGCCCTGCAAGAAGCCCCTTTTCTCCAAACTTCGCCGAAATCAATCTGACAGTCGCGGTCATATTGATAAGTAAGAGTTAATTTATCCTTCATTGAGGACATACTGCATACATATACTACATATTCACACTACATGACGGGTGAAAAACGAAGGTGAGCTAGCTAGAGCAAATATCTTTATTTTTACAGGTTGCCGGAGATAGAAACCCATACAAACAACAGTAGGATTACTGTAGACAGCTACATTGGTGTTATCAAAGATGTAATGGCGCTCAGAAAGAACCTCTGTATTCTGAGACATTTCGACAAGCTAAAACGTCCATCTGCTAGCTCTTCTGCACTATTTATAGGTTTGTTTAAGTTAACCTTAAGGTGCTTCATTATGATAAACTGTAAACGTCAAATAATATTGACAGATAATTTTCATCAAAGATATTGTCGCTTAGTAATGGACTTATGCTTAACTTTTAGTTGAATATCCACTCAGTAAACCACACCCTGTATATTGTCGGATAACAAACCCCACTCTCAGACGTGTGGCCGGTGCCTCCACACCCAGCCCAGACGCACATAGAGGATGACACTACCTCAATGTTCCTGTTGCAACTTAGCTGTATCCTCCATATGGTGGGCAGTTGGGGCGGCACCCGGTTAAGGGTCATGGCTATAAGTCCTAGTCAGACTATGGGTTAGTTACTGAACCTCATTTTGTATGTAACACTCCATTATTGATTCTGTGTATAACTTCAGGCCTATTATTATTATTAATTGGAAGCAATCATGATGTTAATTTGATTACTTTCTTGCATCAGGAGAGTGATCTTCAGAGTTAATATCCTCGCCCTTAATATACAATCATCTCATTAAAATTACCATTAGGAGCCACAGAAAGAGTGCAGCTTGAAGGTATTCTGAAGATTCTGAGGATAGAAGCCCACGTGCAGACAGTCATTCAACCGGAGGATTATGAAACTCTCCCAGAGGTACGTTTCCTAGCAAATCTTTTCACCTGTACAGTTGTATAGTTTCTACATGTTAATAGGGTTAGATAGCTATTAACTGATAAAGTTATCGAGTCCGGCGTAGTAATGTGGTGTCAAATATCACTCGCAGGTTAGCATGTTCCGTATTTGTTCATCACATTAGGCTATTGTGTTGACAATCTCTCCGGTCGCGGTTTGCGGTTGTCCTTTTTTTGGCTGGAGATAGAAATAGTCGACAAATTCAAAATCTGCGAAATGTAACCTAATAGTAAAGCTTTCTCCATCAGGTGCAAAAGTATCAGTCCCTGAACCAGACGGTACGAGAGAATTCCCAGAACACGGTAGTCACATTCATGTACCTTCCACGCCCTCCGCAATCCGAGGACCGAAACTTAGACTATCTAGAAAAACTGACCATTTTATCGGAGGATTTGCCGCCAACACTGCTAGTCAGCGGACTAAGTAAAGTAACCACTACAGAGTTGTAGCATTGGGTCCGATTAGATGTTGTTCATAGATATAAACTGATGTGACGATCTTAATTGATATTGATGTATAAACGTACTTTCTTTTATTTGAATAATTGATTTTATTGTTTATGATGACTATTGTTTGTTGTGAGCATAACTTAAGCTCGAATATTTTATTGTGTACTTTTTTTGAATTTATAGATCACCAAAAATCGGGCACATTTAACTTATTTTTGATTTTGCAAGTTATTGATGATGCAAAATGCGTAATTTTATCTATGTTTATTTCTCTTAAGCCGCTAGGCTTCATTCCACTCCGAAATCATAACCGCAAGTTATTTCTTATAATCTGTTATATAATCACTGTTTAACGATTTTATATGAAGTGATTCAAAATTTCGCTACAATTTTTAGTTTTAATTTTTAATTTTACGAATAATTTTAGAAGCCATTGCAATTGATCGTCTACAACGACAACTTAAGTCTTAACTAATAGGAATCTTTCTCGTATTACGTAAGCCAAGGGGAATGGGGATAGGTTTTGAAAAAGCTAAGTGCAATTCCACACAATAAAATAGTTGTGTTTAAATTGGCTTACGGGATATGGAATGGCTACGTAATACGTGAACGATCTGTAACACAATTTAAAGGCATCCAATTTGAAAATTACAATCCAAAATGAAAACAGTGAAACAGTTCCTCTATTTCAAAATGCAGAGTCATTCATTCTGTCACCCATACTGCCACAAAAATAAAATTCCAACCGCCAAATTCCAGTCAAAAGGTAAAAGTAATTCTGAAATTGATAATATCGACATTACATTGCCAGTAGAAGAATAATTGAAGTAAATCAATTTATGAATGCATTATTGAACAGAACATGAAAATAAATTCAATAATTTGGTCAGGATATTATACGTCAGTCTCGACACGTTCGTGATCGGAATGCCATAACAAATATCGTACCAGCACCATGCCAGTACGATATTGTACAAGTGCCAGGAAGGTATTGGTAGTGGTACCAAGCCAGAATGGCACTGTGCCAGGAAGCTACTGGTACCAGTACCAAGCGGGAACGGTGTGGTACTAGTACCAGCACGGTATCCATGCTGGTATGATACTGATACCACAGAACATAGCCGTATGGTACTGGTAACATGCGCTGGCAGCTATGGTACCGGGACTATACTGAAATGTCGCCAGTATATTGCTGGTACCATACTGTTGAGGTACTGGTACCTAGCTGGTATGGTACTGGTACCATAGCGATATGGTACTGGTACCTAGCTGGTATGGTACTGGTACCTAGCTGATATGGTACTGGTACCATAGCGATATGGTACTGGTATGCGCATGGTACTGGTACCATAGCGATATGGTACTGGTACCTAGCTGGTATGGAACTACTCCCAGTGAATGATACACTGTACACCATTATACAAATTATAAATATACAGCAGGTAGATTGTGTGAGTCGTTAGGACCTGGTCACGGTGGAGGCAGCTCTCTATCATTAATTGAACAAAGTCTGATTTTAATCAGTGTTACATGTTAGGATGATGTAAGGACTCTGATTATTATAACAATTCTTAAAAAGTGTAATTAATATCATTAATTCTTAAAAACTGTTCTTGGCGAGTAAGTGACAGGTTTCAGGGGGCGTCAGCCGTCAGAGCATTATTGCAGTTGCTCCGGCCGAATTGCTGCATTATGGATGGAATGATGGTTTAGTCCAACTACACAACACGTTGTGAGAATGTTTTCGATGGGTCAACCTAGCCGGAAAGCGCACTGCAACGGAAGGAACGCAATGAGTTGCGCTTGACTCTGAAGTGTTACAATCACGTAGAATTAGAGGAGGTAGAGATTGAGAGGGTCAGTGCGTGCGGGTAGGGGTTCTCTTCGTTAAAACTATCCCAATAGTCAAATGTCTCGGTTAACTGATCGGTTAGGTGGCCGAATTCTAAAAATTCATAGTAGGCGGTTAGGAGGTCTTTAGCAAACAAGTGCACGAAGAGAACTTGAGATTTAGGGATATCGTCGAACGGAGGCAGTGACTGGGGTAGTGCACGTGACTTTTCCTCCGCTATCTGATCCCGGTACTCGAGTACAATCCTGTGAGCCCAGGCTCTGGCTAGACAGACACTGCGGGAGGGATTAGAAATATCCGCACACTTGATAGCCATCCTGAGGATGAGAGATTTGTTGTCTTGGCTGACGGGAACCTGGGCCATACACTCCTCACCGTCTTCACTGGAACCACACTTCAGATTAACCGCCAGGAACTTATTGTAATGTTCGAAATGTTGGGTCATGTCCGTTGCCAAGATCATCGAGATGATTGACTTTCTGATCATCTTAAAGTTTTCCGGTTCAAGGTTTTGGAATATGTTAACGTTTTTATTCTCGGCCGCCTGACAGGTGACTTTGAAGGTTGTCGCAGAGTGGTGACTTTCAAGCACTGCGCTATCATTATACATTATAGCTAGCTCGTGACTAACATTGCACAAGAAAGCGTTAGTTCGGCCCGGGTGATCAATGTCGTGGCAGATAGACGCGATTAGGAGGGCCAGGAAGTCTGTTGGGTCCAAAAAATTCTCCATACACTGGCTCCTGCAGAAGTAGGCGGACGCTTGGAGAACATCGGCCGCGTGCGTGGAGTTGTGGTATGTGTTGCAACTGCGATAATTTGATTCTATTAATCCAAGCCAGTTTCTCAGGGTGGTCTCCTCTATCTTGAAGAGGTTCAAGATACCAAACTCGACCAGGATATCAAAACCGAGATAAAACAGTGGCCTGAAAGTAATAGTGTAATTAGTGCGATGATAAACTTTTAAAAAAACTGTCTTGACACTACAGTGGAAACTGAATATTTAAAATAATAATTCATCAACCAACCTGATCTTATAATTGGTTCATAATACTATTTAAAAGCACTTGTTAGATTAATATACTTATTCAATAACTATACAATAACTATCAAATAACAATGCTATTAAAGTATAAGGAGCGTTCACATTTGATAACATTCATGACGTTAATTGATTAAATATTAACGGGATCCTAATAGGGTGTTTTTACCTGTGACTAGACAATCTTTCCAACTCCACTACATCATAATCCCACTCCTTTCTTCTGGTTAAGTTCTCCTTTATCAGCGTCGGCAAGGTTTGGCTCAACGTTATGTTGTTAATTGCCGCAGTCGATTCTGGAAGGTGGTTGAATTAATTCGAATTTAGAAATATGGCTGGGCAACCAACAACTTTAGAAATGTGGCTGGAAAACCAACATTTCGATTTGTCAAAATGGCCCGATCATGGCAAAAATCGTTTATAAAATTGATCATGATCTGTTTATATTAGTACATTAAAGTAAGGTAAGTGATGGCAAAATAACTCGTTAATGTTTATTAGCAACCATGAGTCATCTCAATCGCATGTTAAAACTTAAACTAATTGATTTAAACTTTTGTGTTGTAAAGTAGAGCACTGAAAAACAGTAGACAGCTTCAGTACAGAGCTAAAATCAGATCATATACATATAATATAGAGCAACATTAAGTGCAGTGTGCACATGTTGGAACAGACAAGTGATTAGTAGACAAGATATATAATATATGGACATTTTCATTTGAGGATATTATTAGTTTCCCCAAACTTCCAAATAAAATAAAACCAAAGGTTCACTAAATCTGAAATTCAGTGTGACAATTAATTAATTATGTATTATAATTGTTAGATTGGCCTAATCTACTACACACCAAGGAATGCTAATTAGGCAAATCATTGTAATAAAGTCACAAAAATGTGTCATTTTTAACATGATGGTGCCCAACAACAATGGAGTTACTATTTTAAGCAGTCCATAATATGGAAGTATGGCTAATAAATCACGTGGTTGATTTCAGAACTTCTGGTAATGCTCGGCTAAGTTATGCCACTTGTTATTGTAGTTATGAAAAAACGCAATTTTTTATTTATACTAATATCCTCAACTTCAACTGATATGAATGTGTCCATATAGATGTAGATTAAACTCAGAAAAATATCAAAGTAAAGGGATCGGCTGGCATGAGAAGTTAAGAAATGATTTGCAGAGCACTCGATATAGACCTGAGGGATAAGTGGACTCTGTTAGGTGGGCAATCATGTGACACACTGGACAATCAAGTGACTCACACGAGTCTGAAAAACCGAGTTGTGAATTTTCCAATAAGGGACCGTTTATACGTTAACTTAAAGCAGTTTGCGGTTTGATTCCCACCAAATTTAAATTACCCAACGGTGGATCCTATGATTCTATTTCGAACCTAGAGAAATGTTCATAATGATTAATTGTTAACGAGATTGTTGGTGGACGGAAATGTAGTGCACAGGCTCCAACAATAGCCCCCCCCCCCCCCCCTCCCAACAATATACACTATAGTGTACAGCTGTTATGAGAATGAAGTACGCAAGCATCTTCAATCTTTTTAGAGGTCAAACTTTCGAGAATGATCGCAGGAGTTTACAATGTTTACGTTAAGAGTTAAATTCGTTTTTAAAGGACCAGTTAACTGAAAAAAAATTATCCTCATATTTTGACAGATTGTGACAAATAGCAAACTAAGCAACGAGTCGAAATTCCTAAATCTCTAACTGCTCTCTAACGCGTGTAAATAAAGTTTGTATTATTTTGGCGATGACGTCATAAAGTCCCTTGCGCGCGCAGAGGAGCTCGTGACACTGTATTTTACAGGTAGAAAATGGACATAATACAATGTTTTTCCCCGAATAACTCGAAAAGTAAATAATTTAGGGTACATGTTGCTTCATAAGTTGTACATAAACATGGCCATTCTTCACAATTTGCATACATCCAAAAACCTTTAGGGCCTTCATAGCCCAATTTACCAGATACCCATAGTTTTGCATGATTTCTGGAACCGAAAATCAGTTTTTGGCCAATAACTGAAAAAGTAAGCACTTTAAGGCATATGTTTGTTCGTAAGTCATATATTAATATGCTAATTGCGGTTCTTTTGCACCCTGTCTAAAGACTCTATCACGATCCTATCGAAAATGGGCTCAGCACCACGCCCAAAATGGTTTTTGGCGAATTTCTCGAAAAGTAAGGATTTTAGGCCATGTGTTGCTCAATAACTCCTATATAAACATGCATATGCGGCTTCGTTTAAGCCTATTTTGAAGTCTCTACGACCTTCAGAAGCAAGGGGTCGGTTAAGTTATTGGGTCAATATGGGCGTGGCCCTCCTGGGTTTTCTCCGCGGTCAAAAAAAATATCTCCAAACGAAAATCGTTTATTCATACCTTCGGGAAGGTCTGTGCAAAGTTTCGCGAGTATCTGAACATTTGCGGGTTCATTTCCATTTAAAATGTCCATAAATGACTGGACTACACAACTTTAGAGTTAACTTTAGAGAAACTCATAAGTCATTTATCTCAAATTAAGCTGTTAGTGTCCATGATCAACCTATGGCGACAATGTTTTACGTGAAATGTAAAAATCAGGAGTAATATAAAAAGTGTATTTTCAGATTAAAGTGCTACTGCTAGCTCATAGTTTTAGAATTGTATAGATTAACGTTGGTCGTTTAGCCATCTAACAATCGATCGTGCCGTAATATATGGCCAAAGAATAATAGGGTCTTGGAAATTCTATAGTTGTTCAGTGGGTCGATTGACTGAACACGTTTGCACTTGGTATTTAAACTTACCAGTAGTTTATTTATGTTATGTACCGATGATAATGCAATTAGGATAACAACTAGGTAAGCCGTAAGTATAATTCAAAACACACCGCACACGCGTACACTCCAATCAGTATTACTATTTGGTAGACCGGGTATTTTGGCGGGAATTCTGTTCCCATGGCACTGTTCTGATAGAAGCTACTTCTACTAATGGTCCAAGAGGAACGGCCGTAAAGTAGCCAGACTTCTTATCTCCTATACTGGCTGACACATGCCATGCGGACTAAAGTTAGAAATTTCGCTATGCTATAAATATATGATTGCTCTCGGAATTGAACAAACTCCTACTTATCTAGATCCTTTCTAAATTCATTAGAGTTTCATGGACTGGGGAAAAACAATCAGTACAGTCTCCCTGCTTGTGTAACTAGCAATGAAAACAATCCAAAATTATCACATATGACATATAAGTTGTAATAGCAGAAACTTTCTAACCGTACATTCACCCGGCACTGTTCAAGAACCTATATCACTGTTTAAAATCATGACGTGAGCACTGTACATCCAATCAGCTATTCCTTTAGTTAGGATGATAGCCAAAACTATAAGGATTTTGGAGAACTAGGGAAATAGTCATAATTCTAAAATTTGAGTGAGTTACAGGTGTTTTATTGACAACGATAAACATTTGCAACGTATTACGCTATGCCAGCGCGCACTGAGGGACTTTATGACGTCACGAGGCCACAGCTTATTATTGCAATAACACGCGTTACACGTACGCTATAGAGCTGGTTCTTTCGGCGATACGATTCTTTACCGGTTTGTCACAGCTGATTTAAATCTTAGCCAAATTTGAGACCACAAATTTTTCAGTTAACTGGTCCTTTAAATGTGGGATTGAAAAATTGACCATCAACTTTAAATAACTCTAGATAATTCAGTAACATGGATAAGTAATTAATTATTAACCTCGATGTGAGAGGATGGTGTCGCCCGTCACTGAAGGTCTTGTTCCTCTACCCTGGAAGAAAAAGGTGTGAAGAGTGAAAACTGTGCAGAATATCTTATATATAAGAATATCTTATATATAAAAACGCGAAATGAATGGCGATTAATGATTTAAAATTAAATCTAAGTAATAAATTCAATATTCATGAGTAATCGAGAATTTAGTCATTACTATAAGATTAACAAACTTTCAAATCGGTGTGAGAGCTGTGAGATTGTGTAATGTCATGTGATGAATGTGAGTGGATACTTGTCATCTGAAAGCGAAAGAGGATAATGGAATATCAAAATGTGAGTTGAGGGTCGAGAGAAGGTCAGGTGATTTATGATTATAAGGGTAAGAAAAATGAGGACCAAACCTCCATAAGACCGTCCATAAAGCCAAGAGCCTCAGGATCCTCAGTTAGGCTGTTGGAACCAGGGTTGTAGAGCTCTGAGGACCGGAGCATAGCCATCACATTCTCAATAAGCTGAGCAGGTAGCTGCTGGGGACTTGTGTCTTGGATACTCCGTAACATCGTTAGAATCTATGAGAGTAGAATACAGTTTCCAAGTGGGCGGCTACGTGAGACAACTAATATACCCGAAGCAATTTCAGGTACTTGAAATGAGTGGAATAACTCATGATTTTCAAGTTAAATCAATCAAACTTTGATAAGCATAACGATTTAACTATTTAAATAATGACATTTCATTACAAGGAAGTAAGAAATGGCAAATGACAATAGTCATGAATACGGGGGATACGTGGCGCAAGGTTGTCCAGACATGTGACCGGAGACAGTGATTCTGGAATATTTCATAATATCATTATATCAACTGTAGAGACAGAGTTTAAATCTACGATATAATTCTAATAGAGGTGGGTTTTAAGGGTTTACAGCAAATTTCAGTCTGAGCTTTATAAAGTTTAGTGCGAACTGATATGGTGCTCACCAAGCCAGAGTCACAACTTGGCGAATAACGCAATAAAACCTGTAAGATTTAGAACGTCCAGTAAGTTGAGCTTACAATAGAACAGGCAATTTTGGCACTAATTTGATAGACTTGTTTTTATTGCGCCTATATCAATATAGCGTCACATGCTCACCTGGCTTTCAATGGACAATGTCCTCTTGAGCTCAGAGCGCAATGTGTGTATTTCAGTGCAGTATGATTATATTGAGCGCTTAAATAACGCTAGGGCAAAGAGCAAATTGAGTTTGATAGAAGCACAAGGAGTAAACATTGAGGATTGCACTCTCGCATTTGCAAGCGAGCACCAACAATTATCACACCAAATGTTTTTTCTACTTAAAAGTTAAAGCTCATTTACAAAAACTATATCACAGCTCAACAGAAAATGTGAAATTTCTAGAAGACTCAGCACAGCAAGCTGCACCGAAAAAACTACAAAAAATGCGGTGATTGATAAATTTTAATCGTTGCACAAATTAGTTTGATAAACATAATTAAAAACCAATAAGAATAATCCCTCACTAGGGCACTGCACTCTAAATAGAAAATGAGATGATAGAAATGGGTTCCAATCCCCTTTCAACGCCACTTGGCTCGGTATTGACTACAGCTAACATATTGAAATTATGTCAATGTGGTGGAATTAGAAAACAACTGATTACTCTAGTAGCAGAGCATAGTTGAGTGTGCACTTCGATGTACACGATTTCTGACAACACAGGGTTGTTTGTTAGGTCATTCTAAACCAAAATCGTTTAGGTGGACAATTTGTTTCGCTAGAGACAACCCTACAGGGCAAATTTTCTAAATTACCCTCAGTCGCGTATACGGGATTTTCGTATTTCGGCTCCTGAAGGTCATAAAGACTTCATTTTTAGCTTAAAATTACCGCAATGGCCACATTTATATACAACTTATTAATCAATATATGGTCTAAAATTGTTTGTTTCCGAGATATCTGCAAAAAAGCAATTTTAAGCTCAGGCGTAGGCACAAATTTCATCAAATTTGTATCTCAGCTTCTGAAGGTCTTAGAGACTCAAACTTTAGCTTAAAATGACTGAAATGCACATGTTTATATTGACACTATAAAGGTCATAAAGGCCCAAAATGCTTACTTCTGGAAAAAATCCAGAAAAACCGATTTTCACTGGGGCAATGAAAAAAATCTACTCTAGAAGCTAACTGAAATCGAGTATGCAGTTTGGTGTCGAAAACTTTTCTAGAAACCAGGTCCTTTGTAAGGTAATTCTGGATCAGAATTGATAAGGTACGCAATTTCTATCAGTAGTTCCAACCCTAGGAGGGAAATTTCTAAATTACCCTCAGGTGCAAATATAATTTTTGTATCTCGGCTTCTGAACGTTGTAGGGGCCTCTCTTTTAGCTCAAACTAACTGCAAAGGCCACATTTACATACAAGCTATAAAGCAACATGTAGGGTTTATAGTGCTTAGTTTTGGAGATATTCATTAAAAACTGTTTTAACTTTCGTGCATCCTAAAATAGTAACATCAAACATGTACTTAATTTTGGTATCCCGGGCTAAAAAAGTCTTACAGATACTTTACTTGCAGCACAGCAAAAGTTCAGCATGAACACATTCAGATAATATTTATGAAGCAACACAGTTTAGTTTCAGAAGCCCCCTTCAGCTATCTTGTCTTATCCCCAAATTTATACATCTGACGATCTCTCTTGTTGCTTCTATCTCGTTAAAGCCAAGGCTCGAACGGGACCGCTTTTTTTGCCGGGACTGGGACTGGGAAAAAGTGCCGAGACCGGGATTAAGACCGGGACCGGGATTAGGGATCGGGATTAAGCCCGGATCCCAGTCTTAACATAAGTTGGGCTCTCTCCAGTACTGTTTGGCTATTATAGCTTATCAACTCCAATCCAACCTCATGTAGTAGAATCTATTTCTAGTTTCCTTCAATTCTGCTATTCCCACTCTAGCTCTTTGTAGCAATCTCTGAATGCTACTTCCTGATCTATCTAGCTTCCACCAACATCCAATAATTGTTGTTATGCTACTATTAGCACCTGCAAATTCTAGCCCTATTCAGCAACCTCAGACTTACTCCTACTCTGTTCAGCTATCACGGATCACCAGAACCTGCAAATTCTAGCACTTATTCCAGCAACCTCAGACTACTTTCTGCTCTATCCAGCTAACACTAGCAAACGGTACCCACAAATTTTAGCTTCTTCTAGCTACTTCGGGCTACATCCATCCTTATTCAGTTGGTTGAGCACTCTCAAATTCTATCTGTTTTTATCTAATTTAGGCTACCTCCAGGCTCCAGCTAGAATTTGAGGGTGCTTGTGCTATCTGGATATAGCATAAGGTAGTCTAAGTGTGCTGGATAGGGCTAGAATTTGCAGGTGCTAGTGGTAGCTGAACAACAATTAGTGGGTGTTGGTGGAAGCTAGATAGAGCAGAAAGTAGCATTCAGAATTTGCTAGAAATAGCAGGTTTCCTCTTCCTCAATGAACTGGAAATTGTTGGATGCAGCTGAGTCAGCCAGAAAGAGCCAGAATAAATTGTTGCTGGTGGTGCTATAAAAGGCAAGAAGTAGCTTAAGTTGAGTTTGCTAGAAAGAGCAGAAGTTGGAGGGGCCAGGCGGCCTTGCAGTAGTAGCTAAATAGATGTAGATGTGAAAAGAGCTGGAATTGGTGGTTTCTGCCCACTGATGGTACCTGTATAGAGCAGGAGGTAGCATTCAGAGGTTGCTAGAAAGAGCTACAATTATAACATGTTGGTGGTAGCTGGGTAGAATAGGCATGGCATAGAGGTAGCAGAATTAAAGGAAACTAAAAGTACATTCTACTTCATGAGGTGGGATTGAAGTTGATTAGCCATAATAGTCAAACAGTACTGGAGAGAGCCCAACTTTTGGTAGCTATAACGAGATAGTTAGATGTTCATGTATAAATTTGGGTATTGAAGTAGTTCGAAGTAACCAGAGACATGGTTAGACGTATACATTTGGGGATAAGACAAGATAGCTGAAGGGGGCTTCTGAAACTAAACTGTGTTGCTTCATAAATATTATCTGAATGTGTTCATGCTGAACTTTTGCTGTGCTGCAAGTAAAGTGTCTGTAAGACTTTTTTAGCCCGGGATACCAAAATTAAGTACATGTTTGATGTTACTATTTTAGGATGCACGAAAGTTAAAACAGTTTTTAATGAATATCTCCAAAACTAAGCACTATAACCCCTATGTTGCTTTATAGCTTGTATGTAAATGTGGCCTTTGCAGTTGGTTTGAGCTAAAAGAGAGGCCCCTACAACGTTCAGAAGCCGAGATACAAAAATTATATTTGCATTCTGATCCAGAATTACCTTACAAAGGACCTGGTTTCTAGAAAAGTTTTCGACACCAAACTGCATACTCGATTTCAGTTAGCTTCTAGAGTAGATTTTTTTCATTGCCCCAGTGAAAATCGGTTTTTCTGGATTTTTTCCAGAAGTAAGCATTTTGGGCCTTTATGACCTTTATAGTGTCAATATAAACATGTGCATTTCAGTCATTTTAAGCTAAAGTTTGAGTCTCTAAGCAGCAATAGCAGCAAATCTGGGGAAACTTGGTGGACATTGACTTTTTTCACAAAATTTGAGTATGTTGACTTCAACATTATGTTGCAGCTCATTGTGGTTAATCTCAATGTTGGAGTGATGTTTTTCTGGTGCACAAAACACTACAGTACGGTTATGTTGAATATTTGTGGTTAATGGGTCATCTATGTGGCCACTGCGGTGGTTAAAATACCAGTTTTAGGGTTAACCACCATTTTGAGATATGATATTATGAACTGAGTAGTCATTATATTGAGATCATATCATGGTGCAACTATCACAAAAGTTTTCAAACCTCATGGGGAGCATTTTGTGGTCCTAATGGTGGTTAAATTGAAGATGAACGGTGAGCTATAAATATTGCTCTGATTATAGATGTATAGTGGTGGTTGTTCATTTGTGCATGGATGATAATTTTTTATCACAAATGTGCAATTTAATAGTATGGTTGATTTGAGGTGGTTAATATTCGTAAAAAGTGCTAAAAAGATGGTTAAAATGTCAAAATTTGTTGTTAACCACCAATCAAAACATTATTAATGATTTTAGTCAACATTTTATGGTCAAAAAAGGACATTTGAAGGGTCTTGATAAAAGTTATCAAGAAATGTTGTCATAAAAGTGGTTAAAAGGGCTATATTACTTGCTAGGCTGTTGAACAAGGCATCTATTAAAGTGAAAATTAACCACAATATGAACTTCAGATAATGGTTTGCTATCCAAATGAGTGTATATTTGTTTGCAAATGCATAATTGACCCCAAGTTCATGCATTGACCCCAAGTTCAAATCATTAAAACATTATTAATGATTTTAGTCAACATTTTATGGTCAAAAAAGGACATTTGAAGGGTCTTGATAAAAGTTATCAAGAAATGTTGTCATAAAAGTGGTTAAAAGGGCTATATTACTTGCTAGGCTGTTGAACAAGGCATCTATTAAAGTGAAAATTAACCACAATATGAACTTCAGATAATGGTTTGCTATCCAAATGAGTGTATATTTGTTTGCAAATGCATAATTGACCCCAAGTTCATGCATTCCGATCAATGTGCAGCTAAGGTGGTTAAAATGTCTCCAAAATACCCTATATTTGCACTAATTAACCATTTTTAGAGCACATATTAGTTTTGTAAAGCTATAGCTGGCCATGCTACATTATCTAGATATTACTACCTGCTCATTTATATGACCAGAAACATTGCTGAGTCCTATGTTGCGTCCATCATAGTTAATAAAGGTCTAAAATTGACCAAAATCAGTGTTTTTGGTCGTTTTAACCACCATACGGCCACACATTTTGTTGCATTATCTTTAAAATCACTTATTATCCTCCAGCTATCTCTCATAATCAAATTTCAAAACAAAATAAGGCACAAAAAGTTCGGAGGTTGCTGAATAATGGTTAATTTGTGATGGCTTCTGTTGACCGAAAGTCCAAAATAAACATGTTTTAACCACATTGAGGCCACATCTAAGGTTTTATGGTATTGGGACCATAGCCAAAAGTTTTGGGCACCTGAATGGTGACCTCTGCTTTTGAAATTATGGTGATATTTCAATGCTGTGCCATACCAGGTGGTTAAGTACGCGCACGCGCGCGCGCACGCGTACAAACATGGTTTTTTTGATATACCACAGTTGGTGGTTAACTGTTCTACATCAAACCTTCACTAAAAGTATTGGGCACCATAGTGGTGACATAATATATAAAGAATTTAAGCCTAGACTAAATATGTTGGCCTACAGATGGTTAAGTACGCGCACGCGCGCGCGCACGCGTACACTATAACATAAACAAATAAACCACTCCACAGACCACATTTATTAATTTTTTTAATTTCCTTCTTCAACTATGTGTCAATGAACCATTTTTGTTCAATAATGACCATCAATATTAACTGTAGTACTTATATCTTCACTGTAGTAAGGGTTTGGGTGTTAGAGGTATAAAAAATGTCCACTAACAAATCAGTCATTTTTCGACTACTTAACCACCTAACTCAGCACCAAAATGTTCTGAGATTTTTTTCGTTGCAGTATCATGAAGCTATGACATTTTTGGACCTATGTAAATATTCAGATTACTAAAATTCATAATCTGTGATTTTTAAGGGGGGGTTAAATGCTTCAAATTGGTGTATTTCAAAGTTTCCCCAGATTTGCTGCTATTGCTGCCAGACCTTCAGAAGCTGAGATACAAATTTGATGAAATTTGTGCCTACGCCTGAGCTTAAAATTACTTTTTTGCAGATATCTCGGAAACAAACAATTTTAGACCATATATTGATTAATAAGTTGTATATAAATGTGGCCATTGCGGTAATTTTAAGCTAAAAATGAAGTCTTTATGACCTTCAGGAGCCGAAATACGAAAATCCCGTATACGCGACTGAGGGTAATTTAGAAAATTTGCCCTGTAGGGTTGTCTCTAGCGAAACAAATTGTCCACCTAAACGATTTTGGTTTAGAATGACCTAACAAACAACCCTGTGTTGTCAGAAATCGTGTACATCGAAGTGCACACTCAACTATGCTCTGCTACTAGAGTAGATCCTAGCATCGAACAATGGTCATATATAATTGACTAATTTTGTGAACCATTGTAACGGCCTCGGGTATATTCTCCTTAAAATAAAATGCAAGCAGTTGCATATTATACAGGATGCAGCTGTAATAAGTGCTGTGTCTGAGCAATACAACCATGATCACATTCTGAGAGTGATTCACTGGCAAGATGTTGAGAATTGGATTTAAGCTCGCAATTTTATTGACCCCCTGACTTTCTGTAGGGATATTTTATGCCCATCAAATACCATCATTGCATGTTATATCATCATACCATGCTGAGCAACGATCTTCTAGTGCTTCTGACAATTTGTCAGCAGAAAAAATTCAGAAATCAAAGTTTGCACCACTTCCCGGCCCGATTAAATTACTGTGATCTATAATCAATAACAAATCAGTAACTAGTGGTACCTTGATAATTGGGGCATCCACTTGTTTGGAAAGTCGTCTGGAGGTGTTATTAACACTGATGCTATTGATGGAGGTGTTGGAGGATTCAGTCCTAACCCGTCCGTTACTCATCCTTCTTGTAGTGGAATTGAACTGGTTCTGTAGGGATAAAAGGTAATAGGTTGTGGTAAGGGTAAGGGTAAGGGTAAGGGTAAGGGTAAGGGTAAGGGTAAGGGTAAGGGTAAGGGTAAGGGTAAGGGTAAGGACTAAGGGTAAGGGTAAGGGTAAGGGTAAGGGGTAACGGTAAAAGGTTGAGGTAATGGTAAGGGGTAACGGTAAAAGGTGATGAGTAGGGAGCCATGGGTTAGGGGTAAGCAAATGTTCTATGACACAACAGATGTACCGTTACAGCACCAACCTTGTTGAGACAGGAGCGACAAAGTGTGGGGTTCAGCTCCAATCTACACGTTACAAAATGTGAGGGTACACTGAAAGTAGATCATCAAATAAATATTATGGTGGATTAAACTTGAATTAATAATTGAAGTTATTAAATAACCATTAAACACAGTCAGAGACAAGGCATGATAAAAACATAGTCTTACTTATTTCCTTCAGCATCAAAAACAGGCATGATTTTCATTTCCACAGATATGGGATCCAGTCCAGTTCTGTTATTTACAACTACACCCTCCCATACTTTCCCCTCAGCTTTGCAGCGCTGCATAGTTTCGATCAATCCCTGCGGTGTTTAGTACCTTTAAAGCGGTTATATTCATAAACCATGTTCAGTAGATAATGTGCATATTGAAAGTTCAATTTTGTGCCCCAACTGGCAATATACTTTATAGCATAGCTCAGAAACCAAAGTCCGAAGTTAACGGTATGGGCAGCGATTTTTCTTGACATCCTACATTCTACAAAACAGTCATTAAAGTTAAAAACGAAAGAAAAATCTTACTGTGCCGGTTTTTTCTTCGTTCAGCAATACATCGGTAGATTTTCCCACCATGTCGATGCTCTTAAAACCAGCCAACTTTTCGAATGCAGGATTCACGTACTGTGGAAATAATGATGTTAATTAAAATTCACTATCTGCACTCCGCATATATTCTAATTGTATTTCTTTTCATCAGAAGTGTGGGTGTACGGTTGCAGCATGAGTTGTAGTTAACCATTACGGCCTTACGGGGACAACTTCAAATTGATAGGAAGGAATTGATAAGGAACCGACCGAATCAGCTTTTTTAGTCGTACAAGAACAAGACCGGATTTCAATTTTTATCTAGAACCGGACCGAAACCGGTCCTTTTCAGCATTTCTCTTAGATCCAGATTGCGCCAGATATGCTTTTTTATATGACAAATCTTCAACGCATTGTCAAGTAACAAACTATTTTACTACATGATACAAGTGGTTTAGCTCGATCAATACAGGAATATTCGGTGAAGAAAGTCCAGACACGAGGTGTTGGCGTTTTGATGACGTTATCATGAAGATGACGCAAACAAATCGTGTGTCTGGACTCTCCTCACAGGGAATTCCTTCATTTATTTATTAAATTATCGAGCTAAACCGTTTGTCGTAATTTATAAATCTACGTCATGAACTAATGAAATTTGTTGCTAGGGAATGGGTTGAAGTTTTGTCGCATAAAAGACAAATCCGGTTCTGGTCAAGTTCGGAGACAACCTGTACATAAAATCAGTCACTAATTACACTCATTTCACTGCCATAAACGGTAAAATTAATTATAATTCCTCTGAAAGTCCAAGGGGTACAGGTTCTTCAGATATTATACTCCAAACCTTTCTATAATGATATCTGGGTACAAAATTTAAATAACTCAACCTTGGTGGAGACAGTGGCCACCTGAAAATTACAAAAATAAAGGAGCTGTAAATCACTTATGAAATAAATATTTACTCCAAATTTCACAATTTAAAGTTACGTAAGACAGGTGGGTACTCAAAAAGTGCCGGTTGAGCAGGTTTGTCTGCTCAACACAGGTGGAGCAGCTCACTGACTACATGAGCTAATATAAGTGACTAGAACTAACCCTCTCATGCTTTTTAATTGCTCCAAAGTCCTAATATTTAAAATTATGGGTTATAGCAATCATATTTCATAGAATAGGATCCTCAGAATCGGCTCAACCGAGGTGGAGACAGCATAACATGCAGTTCAAAATCTGTTATTCTGTAGTTTAGGAGCTGTAGAGTGACTGTGGCAGTCCATTTGCAATACCAATGATTCTAAATCATCTACCAACTCATATTACAAGGCATCCTTGCTGAAAAGTACACTCAACATAGGTGGAGACTCAAATTTGGCAAATTTGGGCGTAAATTTGACCTCAGAAGTCAAGGTTCTCCACCGCGGTTGAGTGGTTGATGGCTAGTTTGATGAGTTGTATACATGCTAAAGGGTCATCCAATGTTATTTCTTCCAGAAATCAACTGCCAAAGCTCAACTCAACCCGGTGGGGCCAGTTTTAATGCATTTTTTAATGTTTTGATGTTTAATCAACAATTTCTCCACCTTGTTGAGTACCTTTTCACAACTTTGATAGTTTTTTCATTTGCTAGAACACTTTGCTTTAAGACAGAAGGGGTAACAGTTTTATGATCCCCTACAGTAGCAGTTAACAGAGCAGATTAGAATTAGTGATAAAACCAATGAATTTAGGCATGTTTGACAGGCTTTTTACTGTTTCTTAATAAAAGATCTCCACCCTGTTGAGCGTCAATGGAAAAAACAAAATTTAACGGGAAGTAGAAAAGGCCGAGAAGCAACTTTCTAGCTAACCTAGAACTCTCTAAACCTTTCTCCACCCCCGGTTGAGCAGCTTTGAAAAGTGCATTTAATTTCTCCACCTCGGTTGAGCACTTAAATAAAATATTGATAAAACCATCAGATTGCAAATTTGATGTAGTTTGTGTTACCAATAACCTTTTCCACCTTAATCAAAAGTTTCTTCAACCAGAGCCAGTCTCCACCTTAAATCTCCACCTTTTAAGGGTTTGTTTAATACCACCTGTATCTGCTCAACCGTTCAACCTTTTAATTTTTTTTTTACTCAGAGAAAGTCCTGAAAAATGTCTTGTCAGCCATATAATCAGGGAGTTTCAGTATGTGTTGAGCTGGCTCCACCACACACTTCTAAAAAAGTAAAAAATGTACAGGTTGTCTCCGAACTTGACCATCTAAGGAAAGAACCGTTTCTGGTTACAAAATTGAAATCCGTTCAGGTTCCAGTCAAGCTGAAAAAACTCATTAAATGCAAACCGATAAAACGATCGATATTCAGTAAGCTACAATAGTGCAATATACTTAAGGGGGCCGGGGGGTCTTCATCAAAATTCTCTCGAAATTGATTTTATAGTTGTTTCTGATAGAGGGGAGTGATATCTATCGGCTGCTTTTGATCCCATGGAAAAATATTGTTCCTAGCCAAAATTATCGCCAGTCAAAGGTCAGCGCTTATGTGTAATTGTATTGCGCGAGCGATTTTCAATCGCGCGCCCTGAAAATAGAGTCTAAAAATCTATCTTCTCCTACATTTTTTGAGCAATCACCCTGAAACTTTCAGGATATGTTCTAGGGATCATTTAGAAGATATCTGTCGAGCCGAATTTTGAGATAGGCCTTAGAAAAAGTTTTATTCCATTTTGAAAATCTTGGACCTCATTTTTTGACGATTTTTCCAGGTCCAAGATTTTCAAAATTGAATAAAAAATCTTCTAAGACCTATCTTAAAATTCGGCTCAACAGATATCTTCTAAATGATCCCTAGAACATATCCTGAAAGTTTCAGGGTGATTGCTCAAAAAATGTAGGAGAAGATAGATTTTTAGACTCGATTTTCAGGGCGCGCGATTGAAAATCGCTCGCACAATACAATTACACATAAGCGCTGACCTTTGACTGGCGATAATTTTGGCTAGAAATAATATTTTTCCATGGGACCAAAAGCAACTGATAGATATCACTCCCCTCTATCAGAAACAACTATAAAATCAATTTCGAGATAATTTTGATGAAGACCCCCCCCCCCCCCCCCCCCCCCCGGCCCCCTTAATAATTTAATTAATTTAAGGGATTTACCGAGCAGATGCCATCAATATCAGTGATATCGAAACTATCACGACTTTCCTCCAGAAGTTGGAACAAAGTGTTGGCGACCCTGTAAATAGGAATCTTTAAAACATCTGGATACTCTGAATGATAAATATTCCCGCAATGCACATTGTAAATAATGTGGGTTTGTGACCCTTGTTAACGAGAACTGCCGTCCGGGGTCACAGTACATTTAAGAGAGGAATTTGATAGAGAGGAATTTGATGAGAACTCACGAAAGTTTGAGTCCGGTACTGACTTCCCCAGTATCCATCATTACGATCTCGTTAAGACACGCCCCTCGGTCGTGGTTTTCCAGGAATCGCTGAAATGCATTCAATTACTTTTCAACTTTCTGTGTGACCTTATGTCCCTCGTCATTTTGCAGATGAAATTTTGGAGTGAGGGTTGAAATTTCGCATTAAAGTACGAAATGTCATATTTGAGGATGAAATGTGGGCAATGGGCATTGAACATCAGGGAATGAAGGGACATGAATGAATCGGGATGAACTGCCGTACTTTAGGGACTGAATTGTCTGTTTGTGAAAGTTCCGGTGATGAAGTACAAGTGTCGGAGGGTAATGAGTTGAGGGATGAAAAGTCTTGTTCCGTTTTAACCAGTTGTGATGACTGTGTTTTTAGTCTGCTAGTTTCAAACCAACACTGTAAAAATACAGATTTATGGTGCTATTAGTTGGTCCTAAGTTTAGATGGCATCATTCGTGTTTGCTAAAATTTGTTTTACTAAATCATTCCAATAACCTAAGCTTACCCTATTGAAACCCATGTCCAGGTACGGTCTGACTGACGGCTCCTCGCACCAACGCGGTCTGAAAAGTTAAATTATATAGTATTTAGATGGCGCCACCGGGTATACAGTATAGTATTAAGGGGCCGGGGTAAACGGTATAGTATTAAGGGGCCGGGGTATACGGTATAGCATTAAGGGGCCGGGGTATACGGTATAGTATTAAGGGGCCGGGGTATACGGTATAGTATTAAGGGGCCGGGGTATACGGTATAGTATTAAGGGGCCGGGGTATACGGTATAGCATTAAGGGGCCGGGGTATACGGTATAGTATTAAGGGGCCGGGGTATACGGTATAGTATTAAGGGGCCGGGTTATACGGTATAGTATTAAGGGGCAGGGTATACGGTATAGCATTAAGGGGCCGGGGTATACGGTATAGTATTAAGGGGCCGGGGTATACGGTATAGTATTAAGGGGCCGGGGTATACGGTATAGTATTAAGGGGCCGGGTTATACGGTATAGTATTAAGGGGCCGGGTTAATGGGGTATACGGTATTTATACTGGGGATGTTAATACTTTCCACTCATAAACATTTAACTATCAAACTACAGCGAAATATGAATATCCAGATCAGCATTACCCAGACCAATTCATTAAAAAATCAGTAAAACACCCGCGGTTGAACGAGAAACTCTCCATTATATGTGAACTAAATAGAGAACAGGAACTTATGGAGTAGGAACTTATGGAGCAGTGGTTATAATGTACTCACATCGCGGGACACACTGCCAAAGTAACCACATTTGCGAATGATGGCCTGGACCTTATCTTCCTGGGGGGAGAACTTGGTAATTACGATTGCATCAAAAAACATTCTGATTCTATACAATGTGTTATATACAATGTTTTACAATTATATTACTCATATTAATTTATAGCGTGATGATCTTAGCAAAGTGTTTGTTAAAACACCAACCTAACAATCTGCTCCCCGATACTGTAGACATTTAGCCTCATGTCAATCACCACTATGTGGTGTTTCCTTTTGTCCAGTGTGTCCATGGCGTTGTCCAGTGAGTTAGCCATACTGCACGCAAACCCGCCTTTTCTACAGGCCCACAGGAAGGCTTCTGACTGCCCATCCTCCACAGGAAATACTAGCAACACCTGGTAAAATACCTCATTTTAAAATATTAACATTATCATGTTTTAATAGAATTACCATTCGGATTCGAAAGTGTTTTTACCCTCAAAAAGGAGATAATAAACTTAACAAAGATAAAACACTAATTATTGCACGAGAGCTTAAAATCCTACCCGAGATATTTCCTGTAGTAGCTTTACCGGCCCGAAACGAATCTCCTTCTTTTCCGGCTGAAAGTTAAGTAAATTAGTTTCAAACACATTACCCGCATGAAGAGTATCATATTGAAAGCAATGAAAGTAGGACTCGGTGTCATTATAATATATCTGGAGGCCGAGGTTTGTTATTACAACTTATTATCCAAAACAGATGCCAAGACATATTTTGAATACCTTCAGCATTTTATCGTGGGCTAATGAAGATGTTGATGCACGAACAATGACATCGGAACCTGATTTTATACGATGTAGGTTACAAAAAACAGAAAAACTGTAAGAAAAAGAGATCAGACGTAAGTAACAAAAAACAATCTGATCAACTCAGAGCATGAGGGCCATACAAAACACGTGTGTGTATCAGAAAACATTAGAAAAAATACGTCATAACGCTTAATGGATCCCCGAGAATGGAGAGAGAAACAGAGGGGAGGTATTTATAGATATATCTGAGCTGGAACTCAACTAGATTAATGTTAGGAGTTCAAAACTTAGCGAGCCTGCTAATCAAATACCACCCCAATGCCAGCTGAGATGGGGCTGAGTGAGACATTAATTAGAGCCGGGAGGGCTTATATGGACATCACAAAATGAACTGGACGCCGGGGAAGCCGTGACGAAATCAATCATATTTATTACGTCATTACCTCCCTTGACGTTCGCTGTGGCATTGAAGCGTTCAAATGTATTTTGTGGGAAAATATAGCTAGGGGTGATTGAAATGTCACTTCTACGGTTAGGTGGTAAAACTTAGGCGGGGAATTTAAAATTGACAGGTTAAAAGTGACGTAATAATATGACAGAACTGTAACAGTGACGCGAAGTTTGGTGTGGTTGCACCACGGACGATAGATTTCCAATGACGCTGACCCACTCAGTTATGAAACAATAAGCATATTACAAAATATATCGATAGCAATAAACTATTAGTCATCACGATAACAAATTAATTAGTTGTGCAGATAAGTACTAACAATTATAATTAGGCATATTTTATTTGGTAGATTGTCTTTATTATCTCGTCGACATGAATACTCAATACGTGAGCTTATACCAGACTAACTAGACTACTCCCCTATTGACTATTGCAGAGTGGCTGGAAGGCTGACATTGCGTACTGCGTAGTTGCGTCACTTTCACCTCACGTGCAAAACTTCAAAATACTCTGCGCGATATATTTTATGGTTGGTTGTAATGTCGCGCTGTTGGTATGACGCAGAATCCACGAACGTGGCTTCTTGCCAAGAATGTCTACAACAATGGTAAGGCAACTCACACAACGGAGCCTCATTTCTTATTTCCCACCTATATATTTGTCTTCGGTAAAATGGTTGGGAGAAAATGGTAAATTCTGTAAAATCAGTGGATCTCGTTCGTGGGAGCTTACAACTCAATTATAATTAATGTCTGGGAACGTAACCGGTCACGACCGTTTAGAGCCACAAATCAACCTTTACAGGAGAATAAAACGATTGGAATCTAAACGGAGAATGTATGATTTGCATAATATAAAATAAGGATAGATTCGGGCAAACAAAGGGCTTGGTTAAGGGGGCAGGGGGGGTCTTCATGGAAATTTTCTCAAAATCGACTTTTTAGTTGTTTCTGATAGAGGGGAGTGATATCTATCAAATGCTTTTAATCCGATAGAAAAATATTGCTCCTAGCAGAAATTATCGCCGGTAGAAGGTCAGCGCTTGTGTGTAATTGTATTGCGCGAGCGATTTTTGATCGCGTGCCCTGAAAATCGAGTCTAAAAATCTATCTCCTCCTACATTTTTTGAGCAATCACCCTCAAACTTTCAGGATATGTTCTAGGGATCATTTAGAAGAGATTGTCCAGGCAAAATTTTGAGATAGGCCTTTAAACATTTTTTATTCGATTTTAAAAATCTTGGACCTCGAAAAATCGTCAAAAAACCAGGTCCAAGATTTTCAAAATCGTATAAAAAATGTTTAAAGGCCTATCTCAAAATTTTGCCTGGACAATCCCTTCTAAATGGTCCCTAGAACATATGCTGAAAGTTTGAGGGTGATTGCTCAAAAAATGTAGGAGAAGATAGATTTTTAGACTCGATTTTCAGGGCACGCGATCAAAAATCGCTCGCGCAATACAATTACACACAAGCGCTGACCTTTTACCGGCGATAATTTCGGCTAGGAACAATATTTTTCTATCGGATTAAAAGCATCTAATAGATATCACTCCCCTCTATCAGAAACAACTAAAAAGTCGATTTTGAGAAAATTTCCATGAAGACCCCCCCCCCTGCCCCCTTAAGGGGAGATACACCAAAACCGTTTTTGCTCCGAACATCGATTTTATTTTATATTATTTTTAAATAGACAAAAAGAATAAGATTGTACACCTTCAAAAATTTTTAAAAATATTCCCTCATCGAGAAAAAAAATATTTTTCTTTTTCGAAAATTTTTAAAATTTGGAGAAGTCTGTCACTGTAATACCGATAGTTCGGCCATTTAAAAAGTTTTTTGGCTGATTTTTTTACTGAACATTACTTACACCCCGTACTAGAAGCCATTGAAAGGATTATATAATTGAACAATAAATGACCAAGTTACAGACCGAACAAGGTGAAAAAATAAAAATTGTGATTTTTGCCTACCACCAAAGTTGTACATTTCACCACCCGCCCAGGTCATCAGATATCGCTTCAAAAATTCTTGTGAGTGTAGTTGATGATCATGGCAAGCTTTTTGGAACCGGATTTCTCTCAATTTTGAGTTTTAAGCTATGCAATGTGGCCTCAAACGACTTAGTAAAATTCATCTTAAAAAAGGGCTTGAAAAAGGCAGATTTAAGGCTTAAAATGCCTATAACTCAAAAAGTATCAGTTTTTTTGAAATAATTTTTACAGGATCGTAATCAGCTTGGTAAGACGAATCTTTTAGTACCAAATAGGTGCTTTTAGAAGAAAAATTGTCTTAAATAATTTTCTAGCTCGAACACAAGGGTTGTATAAATTTTGTACAAATTGTACACATTTTTTTACAAATTTTGTGGCTTTGAATATTATAAATGTCGTACTAAAAGATTCGTCTTACCAAGCTGATTACGATCCTGTAAAAATTATTTCAAAAAAACTGATACTTTTTGAGTTATAGGCATTTTAAGCCTTAAATCTGCCTTTTTTGCCCTTTTTTACGATGAATTTTACTAAGTCGTTTGAGGCCACATTGCATAGCTTAAAACTCAAAATTGAGAGAAATCCGGTTCCAAAAAGCTTGCCATGATCATCAACTACACTCACAAGAATTTTTGAAGCGATATCTGATGACCTGGGCGGGTGGTGAAATGTACAACTTTGGTGGTAGGCAAAAATCCCAATTTTTCTTTTTTCACCTTGTTCGGTCTGTAACTTGGTCATTTATTGTTCAATTATATAATCCTTTCAATGGCTTCTAGTACGGGGTGTAAGTAATGTTCAGTAAAAAAATCAGCCAAAAAACTTTTTAAATGGCCGAACTATCGGTATTACAGTGACAGACTTCTCCAAATTTTAAAAATTTTCGAAAAAGAAAAATATTTTTTTTCTCGATGAGGGAATATTTTTAAAAATTTTTGAAGGTGTACAATCTTATTCTTTTTGTCTATTTAAAAATAATATAAAATAAAATCGATGTTCGGAGCAAAAACGGTTTTGGTGTATCTCCCCTTAAGGTCAGAGGTATGAACCTCAAAAGTTGCTTTATGAATGTGAGACGACGCAGCACAGTGTAGAGGTATTGTGTTACGGACTGCTGTGAGCAAGGCACTAGACTACTGAAGTCTGAAGGTTTGCGAACTTGCAGCAACCTGATCAGCCGGTTTCTTTTTCATTTTCTCGGTCGCACCAAACAAAAACATGTTCCTCGCATTAGGCCCTGCCCAAAACTCGTCCCTGCTAGACCTGGAAGTCTAGTAGGAGCCAGTCTCCTTATTGTACCATTATCAACTGATAACGGATTGATAAACCGTGGGAACGAAAGATTGCCAGAATTTAGAATTTGTCATAGGTTTCACGATTGAGCAATTGTGTTTGAGAAGGTACCCTTAAGAGATGATATCGAAAACATGGTTGCCATAGGAATTCTATGACTCTGTAATCGCCCCAACAAGTAAATAAATCACTTGGATCTAACCAGGGCTTCCGAGAAAGGCCGGATAAACGGCTAGGATCTCATGCTCTGACAAAGAGGCTAACGAAAAACGATTTTATGGGTCCCCAAAACAGCGTTTTCTAATATGTTAGTAATTACGGGGGGGGGGGGGGGGGGGGGGAAATCGTCGACCTTAACTGTAAAACCAATGATTTGCGCTTTCTTGATATCACCATATTATGCAGTATCCCAGTAATGATTATCGCAATTTTTAAAAAGACCCTCAGCCTTTTAACACGAATTGTCGAATTGGGCCAGTGCTCACAAACCAAAGCAAGGAACACAACTCATATAATTACATGTAATAATCATAAACATGACATATATTATGGTAAAACAGAGCGGCAGAACGAGAGCAGCGCGGGTTATGTGGTGCTACTGAACGGTGCCAGGTCAAAGTGAAATATTGGAGAGAAACGAGTGAAATATTGGAGAGAGAAATATTGGAGAGAGAGAAATATTGGAGAGAATGACTTCCTTGGGAAAGGTGTTACAGTTAAACAATAATTTGTTCTGATGTGAGCGGCATAGCTATATACATGTATAATAATCTGCCCTAATACGGTTAATGTCTGGTCTTACACCATATAGCTATAATCCCTAAAGGTGAGCCTGATCCTACCTCCACTGTTTAATAACGAGAAAGCGTTGTGTGTGATTACGTGGCACGGACTTAATGCACGGTTCTCCTACGACACTCTGTCTTCAAAGACTTATATCGAGATATTAATGCAGAAATGAAGCAACCAAATCCCCGAAAAAAGCAATACTGCTGCCAGGCTGTCAAGTCTTTGCCTTTAACTAATTGATTAGAAACGCTCTCACGTGCCGATATGTCCAATAAAGCAACGGCCA